TGTTCCCTTTATGTGAGAGTTCATTACCATGAGATACAGCATCGTCAGGGATCATGTTCCGGACTGGACATCAATCGCACACTCGTCAATCCGTCTTTAATTTGTTTAATTATAAATCAAAATTGAATGCCACTGCCTCTTTTCGCTTAAAACTTTTTCGGAAGTCAGATCATATGCTTTATTATGTAGTTGCGGAACATGAAGAATTTCCGATAGTAAAAACATGCTTAGTCAATATGAAAATACGATGATCTAGCAGCATATTAGGCGACGTTAGTTGCGGCAGCGAAGGCCATATCTTCACTGGAAGCTGGTCTGACAACAAGAGATTTCCAATTTTCGCACAGTCCTTCAACGTATCGTGATCCCTGAAGATGGATGATTTATAGAAATGAAGAGTTTCTGTTTTTGAAACTTGAGAATCTGCTTTCCGAACTTGCACATTGTGTCATTATTATTTTGGACTTCAAATGTTTAATTTCCTAAAGCATTCAGTTCAGCTCATCAAGGTTCAATCATGGCAATCAAAGTATGTGACTCGTGCTAAGTGAAAGAGCAAATAAAATGCATAAAAGGAAGCCGCAAAAGTGGCTCGTCAACCAGCTCTGTTTCATATCTGCATATCAGCATCAGATCGCTATATTGCAAAATATTTATGAAAGTTTAAAAGTCAGTTTCTACTGATTTTGTAAAATTCATAGACCTTCTCTCCTGCGATGCATAAAAATGGAATGATAAGTGCCACTTTTCGTTTTGATCCTCAATCTTACCTTCCCATTTTCTCCTTGCATTTCATCTCAGCACACTTCGATAGACACTGCTTCTCAAAGTTTTTGTCGTCATGAAAAGCAGAGAGTACTCGACCGATACTACTTTCGGCAGACCATTCATTTCTTGCATCTTGTCAAGTTACTGCAAGTTAATAGGCATAAAACAGGCAAATGTCTACATAAAGTGTCATGTGTTGAGTATTTATGCGAGTTACGATTACGAGTGTATCAAACATGAGATCTCAAGACAAGAAGTTTGTTCCTTGCGGATGGTCTTGTTTTATTGACATCTTCCAAAATTTACCTCAGACGCTTTCATGGAAAATTTGCTTCCGTGTGCAACGTCGCTTGCATGCGCGTGAACATGTCCAAAATCAAGTCTGATACGTTCT